TAGGAGAAATTGATAACAAACAAAAAAAGGTAAAGGACCCCTGACAGTTAAGTCCAGTCTCGAATGACTGGGGTTGCGGCGCTCATCTCACTTTACAGGCCGAGGGAGCCGGCGTTTGTCCGCAGACAGTTTTTCCAAGTCATGTGGCCAGCATTACTAAGCCGCTTCTGGTGAAACCAGAGCAGCACACGGAAATGCCGTTTACCTTCCCACCGGAGTGGTATCTATTTCTCTACTTCCACTTTGACGTGCTTCCGAACTGCTAAGTTGGCAGGAGCTGGGACCGAGCAACAGGAGCTCACACCATCGCTGGGATTCGAACCACCGAACTTCTAATCGGCAAGCCGAAGGCGCTCAGTGGTTTAGACCACAGCGCCACCCGTGTCCCGTGTAACTTGATAACAAGCAACTGATAAATCATCATCATCATCTTCACACCAACCCTGTGAGAGAGGTTAAGCTGAAGAGTTGTTGACTATCCCAAGAGCTTCATGGCGCAATAGGGACATTACCCAAATTCCACTGGGCCTCCGTCAGCAATCTAAGCCCAGAACAACAACAGATGGGAGCGTAAAGGAGGGGAATCATGTGATGCCTGAATCACGTGGAACTATTTCTTCAAACCTGTTTCACTCTGCACAGTCGGTAGAGCATGAGACTCATAATTTCAGGGTCTTGGGTTTGGGCCACACATTGGGCAAAAAAAGATTCCTGCATTGCATTGAGGGGATGGAGGACTCCCTATGAAGAAAAGTTGCAGCATTTGGGACTTTTAAGTGCCAACCTAGCAGTTCGAAAGCACGTCGAAGTGCAAGTAGATAAATAGGTACCGCTCCGGTGGGAAGGTAAACGGTGTTTCCGTGCGCTGCTCTGGTTCGCCAGAAGCAACTTAGTCATGCTGGCCACATGACCTGGAAGCTGTATGCCAGCTCCCTCGGCCAATAAAGCGAGATGAGCGCAGCAACCCCAGAGTCGGTCATGACAGGACCTAATGACCAGGGGTCCCTTTACCTTTAGTGCAGGGGAAAAGCAAGCAACATGATAGACGTTTATACAATTATGCATGGCATGGAGAAAGTTGATGGAGAAAAGTTTTTTCTCCTGTTTTCATGACACTAGAATTCAGGGACATCCAAGGAGCTGAATGTTGGAAGATTGAGGACGTATCAACAAAAGTACGTCACTCAGTGCATAGATAAACTATGGAACTCGCTCCTGCAGGGCTGGTGGCTTTAAAAGACAGGTGGCTTGAAGACTGGTCAAATTCATGGAGGAAAGGGCTATTGATGGGCACTGACCCATGTTGCAGGCATTGTAATATTATGCTAGCTTGAAATACAGCACTGAGGGCCAGTTTATACCTCGGCGCCTCATCCTTGTAGCATTCTCCTCCAAATACTGTCTCCTCCTCTCTAAATCTTGAGGTTCTCTATGCTTTGAAAACTCCTAATAAGACAGCTACATCAATTGCATAGGGAATCTCCATATTTAGGGATTCCCTGGAGTCAGAAAATCCCTTCCTCTTGTGCGTGGGTGGTGCTGTTTTGGCTACATAAGTAACAACACTCACTGCCTGAGCATTGTAAATAGCGGGAATGGTACAACACCCATGTTGGAGGCGTGATAATATCACACTGGTATAGAATACCAAAAAAAAAAACAAACCCACAAAGTTACGCCTGCTTGTAACACTACAGATCTATGCAATTAGAAGCATCTCAAAGAATTGCACGTGGGATATTAATTCCCCAGAGTAGGTGGTGCCTGATAACACACACAGGGACAAAGCATGGTAAAAAATAAATCATTGGAATACGCAAACCCACATTGAGGAAAGTTGGTACAAGCAATAAGATATTTCATCATTCTCAGAGTGTGGGTAGATGTACATAAAATCAAGAGCCAGCATGAGTTGTCTCACTGTATGTAGGAATACAGAAAGCTGCCTTTATACAGAGTCAGACTGTGGACCCATCCATCTTGTAGGGACGCGGGTAGCGCTGTGGTCTAAACCACTGAGCCTCTTGGGCTTGCGATCAGAAGGTTGGCGGTTTGAATCCCTGCAACGGGGTGAGCTCCCATTGCTCTGTCCCAGTTCCTGCCAACCTAGCAGTTCGAAAGCACGCCAGTGCAAGTAGATAAATAGGTACCGCTGAGGAGGGAAGGTAAACAGCATTTCCATGCTCTCTGGTTTCCATCACGGTGTTCCGTTGTGCCAGAAGTGGTGTAGTCATGTTGGCCACATGGCCTGGAAAGCTGTCTGTGCAATTGAGACAGGTTAGAGATTCTGCTGGTTTACTGCCCACCTTACTGCACTAGCATAGCATGGGGGGGGCAGGCACAGGGCTCCAAAATTTCAACACTCGGTGCTGCCTCAACACAGCTGCGCCCTTCCATCGCTGGGCTCCATTGAAAATAGCTTATCCATACAAACCAGAAAGTGACCTCTCCAGGCAATGGAACAATTCTTCTTTTCTTATTTCTGTGGCTGAGATCACCTGGGTGACATTAGGAGCTGAACGCGCATGTGTACTCCCTCCATTTCCCTCCCCGCCCCACTCTGCCCAGGCCCCGGGCCCTGACAACCCATGCTACACCACTGCCTTGTTGCCCTGCCCACGGGCTGTCCCAACATACCATCTGCCCAACTCATGTTAGGAGTGAAGGCGACAAAGAAGGCATACTTTGCCACCTCCATTGCATCCTCATTGTGGTGTCCAGCAGAGCTCTTCTGGTTAGTGTAGGGTTTTAAGGTCTGGCCCAAAGGAGGTGACAGAATGGAATGCTCTTCCCAAAGAGGCTCACCTGGCACCGTCATTACAGATCTTCAGCTGCCTGGCAAAAAATAATAATAATCCTCCTCTCCCAGGCCTTTGGCTAATTAAATAATTTACGGCCTTTTATTTGTTTTGATTTTTTGTGTTTTTATATTATAAACCATCCTGTGATCCTGGGATAGTGGGCAGTATAGAAATTTAATAACTAAACCATGGGTAGGCAAACTAAGACCCAGGGGCCAGATGCGGCCCAATTGCCTTCTCAATCCGGCCCGCGGACAGTCCAGGAATCAGCATGTTTTTGCATGAGTAGAATGTGTACTTTTATTTAAAATGCATCTCTGGGTTATTTGTGGGGCATAGGAATTGGTTCATTTTTCTCTCTCCAAAATATAGTCCGCCCCCCCCACAAGGTCTGAGGGACAGTGGACCGGCCCCCTGCTGAAAAAGTTTGCTGACCCCTGAACTAAACCATAATAAGCTCAGCCTTTCCTCTTCAGTTGCCAGACATACCTTCCACTGCTAAAGGTTATCCCTTCCTGCTTTCAGCTCTCCCTCTCTCTCCCATGCTTCTGGTGAGCTGTTCGTCTTTTCAGGTTGATTGAAAATGCTATTTGTACTATTATACCTTTTTTATTTTAAAAAGTCACAGCACCTTTTCTTTTAAAAAAAAACAACAAAACAAACCTCCAGTTGTTTGTCTCTTGTCTGCCCCAGGGAGAGAAAAGAAAGGAGCAGAACTCAGCAGCAGAACTCATGCTTTGCATGCGAAATCATCAAGATTCTATCCCTGGCTTCCCTAAGGGGGGCTGGGAGACAGCCCCATCTCAAACCCTGAAGATCTACCTCTGCTCCTTGCGAATAACATTGAGTTAGATGGGCAAATGGTCTAACTTATGAGCAGGGCTCTTCCCGATGTCACAGAAACCCAGGCCCCACCTGCACTATGCAGTTAAAGAAGTATCATCCCACTTAAAACAGTTGGGCCATCCCCCAAGGCAACTTGGGAAGTATAGCCTGTTAAGAGGATACTGGGAGTTGTTAACACACACACACACACACACCGTTCCCATCCCAGAGCTACAATTCCCAGAATTCCCTGGGAAGAGGCATTGATTGTTAAACCACTCCGGGTATTGTAGACGTACAGTTCCCATGGGGCTATTTAAGGAAGCAGTGGCAGTTTAAAGTGGTATGAAACTGCTTTAAATATATAGTGCAGATGGGCTCCCATGCTTTGCATGGCCTCTTCTGTCTCAGACTGTCCTGGTGAAAAAGGTGGGATTATAAATACAACTAACGAATCAATTTATGTTACGCTGCTATGTAAATGCTTTTGGGAATCAATCAGTCAATGGAATTATGAGAATGGATTCCAAATATCATTCTTACAAATATTTTAATATGTTAAGACAGTGCTTTTTTCTAAAAAGGTATTTAGGGGTACTCTCATTTTCCTACTCATATTGAAATACTGCAATGAGGCCAAACATAGATTCACAAAATGTTTAGAGGATGTGTACCCCTGCGCCCCCCCCCCCGAAAGAAAGCACTGGGTTAAGATCTGGTGAAGTACAACAACAACCTTGTAAAGTATACAGTTTTGGGTTTCCCCCCCTACCCCTTTTATTTTTCCTTCTACACGGGTTCTGTTTTTCTTTTTCTCTCTTTTATTTACGTCTCACCATGTTTAGTGCAGGGACATGGGTGGCGCTGTGGGTTAAACCACAGAGCCTAGGACTTGCCGATCAGAAGGTCGGCGGTTCGAATCCCTGCAACGGGGTGAGCTCCCGTTGCTCGGTCCCTGCTCCTGCCAATCTAGCAGTTTGAAAGCACATCAAAGTGCAAGTAGATAAATAGGTACTGCTCCAGTGGGAAGGTAAACGGCATTTCCGTGTGCTGCTCTGGTTCGCCAGAAGCGGCTTAGTCATGCTGGCCACATGACCCGGAAGCTGTACACTGGCTCCCTCGGCCAATCAAGCGAGATGAGCGCTGCAACCCCAGAGTCGTCCGCGACTGGACCTAATGGTCAGGGGTCCCTTTACCTTTACCTATGTTCAGTGCACCTATAGCTGTTTACTTTTTGAACTTTCAATAAAGATGTTAACAAAAATAAAAATCAGTCAATGGAATTAGGGCCTTGAAATGCTGAAGAAGATGGCGGGTGTGACCGAATCTGCTGGCAGCCGCTCCCTAACCCCTCTCCCTCTCTTTCTCCCCAAGGTGGTGAGCCAGATTGACAAGCTGACTTCGGACTTTGAGTTTGAGCTGGAGCCGGACGACTGGACCACAGCCACCGTGAGCAGCACATCCAGCAGCGAGAAGGGAGGTGGGATGTTTGACCTTGGGCACCTCGATTTCATGACCTCCGATATCCTCTCCGACAGCTGGGAGTTCTGCTCTTTCCTGGAAGCCTCCACCCCGTCCGATTCGGGCGACGGCTCAGAGCAGCAACAAGGGCGCCAGCCTGACTACCGGCTGATGAATGGCGGGGTGCTGACCCCCAATGGACCCCGGGTGGAGACCCCAGACTCTTCCAGCGAGGAGGCCTTCAGCTCTGCTCTGAGCCACAAAGCCCAGCACCAGAGGACACCTGGGACACGGGAACGAGTGCGGTTCAGTGACAAAGTCCTCTACCACGCCCTGTGTTGCGACGACGACGAGGAAGCAGACAATGTCCCACCTCCCGAGGACCCTCCTGAGGAGCTGAGCGAGATGACACTCAAGGCGGCGCCCGCCGTCAAGGCAGCACTGCGGCGGTCGCCTCACCTGAGTAGCGCTCAGCAGCGGAAGCTGACGCGGAACAGCAGCACCCAAACGGTGTCGGACAAAAGCACGCAAACGGTGCTGCCCTATGTCTCGGGGAAACAGAAAGCGAAGAGCAAGAACTGAGCGCCAGCTGGGCAGGGGTTTGGGGGAGAGGGGAAAGCTGCAGATATATATAAATCTCTCTATATATTTAAGTCAATAAATGATAATGATATGATTACCAAAAAAAAAAATGGTGGCAGGATATCATCGTGAACTACCTAACCATTACTGTTGAGACTCAGGGATTATTTTGGAAAAAAAAAGATCTGTTTTATTTATTGAATGGCTTCCCTTTTTTGCAGCTCAGTAAATGTGTGGTGCTTATTCACAAATATCAAACACAAACACACACACACATACACCTCTTTTTAGGATGCAGGTGCTTTTTGGCTTTCTTGAAAGAGCTCCAAAAATATGCCCCAGAAGATCAGCCAGGTTTCTCTGAACAGAGTGATTGGCAAGCACTCTCTCCCAAAAGATCTTGGGAAACAAGACTGATCTCAAGAGGCTGAAGAAAGCTGGTGATGGGCAGGTGATATGGAAGGAATTTAGGCTCCCTGTTTTTATACAATGTGAAGCCACAACAAGCTGATGACTCTGTTGCTCTGACCTGCCTTGTGAATCCTCCAGTATCTGTTGATATTAAGGCTGTATACAAACTGTACATTGAAGGCACATGGCTTTCTGCTAAGGAACTTGGGAACTGCAGTTTACCCCTCACATAGCTCAACAAACTACAATTCCCAGGATGATTTGGGGGAAGCTATTGATACATATATTCAACAAAGTTTTACTCAGAGTAGAAGCACTGAAATCAGGTCTACTCTGAGCAAAGTGCAGTTGCATACCATCTGTGCTTTTAATGTATGGCATGTACACATCCTAAGACTCTCTCAACTTACAGATTTGTGAGTTTCTTCCGCCATAAATGGTAAAGGAATCCCTCTCAGACTCCACAGCCCACATTTGGGCTAGTTTGCTCCACTATCATCTTGGAAAACCAGGAAGATAATGAGAAGGTGCATGCTATTTGTTCTTTTTTTTTCATATTCCTCTCCCCATCCATTCCACCAAAGGGCTTGGCTTTCCTTTGCATTTTCAAATTTTTATTAACTTTTCAAATTTTACATTTCAAATTGAACATCTTCTGTTATACCATACATTCATTAACTTCCCTCGCTCCCCTTCCAAGGTTCATTTAACTTATCCACCATTCCTGCATATTTTGATATATCCATCCGATTCTATTTTCCTATCTTACATCACTTCAATATATATCATTCTGTTGAATTTTACTTTAATGCTGCCAACATTTCCAACTGTATACAATTGTTTTCAAAATATTCAACAAAATTTTTCCACTCCTCTTTAAATAGCTTTCCTTTCCCCACCTCCGTTGCACATTTTATCTTCACACCAAACCTGTGAGGTAGTTTAAGCTGAGGGGTTGCAACTGGCCCAAGGTCGCCCTGTGACCTTCACACTATTTTGCTGCAACGTGCTCTCTGGGCAGGGCTGCCCTTGAAGACAACTCAGAAACTTCAGCTGGTCCCAAATGCAGCTGCCAGATTATTGGCTGTTGGCCAAGGTTTCATTTAAAGTTTGTACAGTGGTACCTCGGGATGCGGGTGGCGCTGTGGGTTAAACCACAGAGCCTAGGACTTGCTGATCAGAAGCTCGCGGTTCGAATCGCCGCGACGGGGTGAGCTCCCATTGCTCGGTCCCTGCTCCTGCCAACCTAGCAGTTCGAAAGCACATCAAAGTTCAAGTAGATAAATAGGTAACGCTCCGGCGGGAAGGTAAATGGCATTTCTGTGCGCTGCTCTGGTTCGCCAGAAGCGGCTTAGTCATGCTGGTCACATGATCCGGAAGCTGTACTCTGGCTCCCTCAGCCAATAAAGCGAGATGAGCGCCGCAACCCCAGAGTCGGCCATGACTGGACCTAATGGTCAGGGGTCCCTTAACTTTACCTTTACAGTGGTACCTCAGGATGCGAACAGAATCCGTTCCAGAGCCCCATTCGTATCCTGAAGTGAACGCAACCCGTGACTGTGCATCTGCGCATGCACGGGTCGCGAATCGCTGCTTCCGTGCATGCGTGTGATGTCATTTTGACCATCTGCGCATGCACGAGTGGCGAAACCCAGAAGTAATGCGTTCCGTTACTTCCGGGTCACTGTGGAGTGGCAACCCGAAAGCGCTCAACCTGAAGTGTATTCAACCCAAGGTATGACTGTATAACCCATTTGAAAACTGTTTGCCGATTCAATGTGCTCAAGTTAGTATTTAAAGCCATAAACAACTTAAAGTCAGTGTGGTGCAGTGGTTAGAGTGTTGGACCAGGACCCAGGAGACTAAAACCCAGGATCCCCAGTCAGCCATGAAACTCACTGGGTGACTCTTGGACCAGTCCTTGCCTTGCAACCTAACCTACCTCACAGGGTTGTCGCAGGGAGAAAAATGAGGAGGGGAGAACCCCGTACACCCAGTGCTTTTTTTCTGGGGGGACACAAGAGTATGCACACCCCTAAACATTTTGTGAATCTTTGTAGTTTTGTCCATTTACTGTATTTATTTTTCCCGATCTGAACTATAAAATGGTGGTTTTCTTGAGTACCCCTAAACATTTTTTTTAAAAGAAAAAAGCTCTGCGTACATCACCTTGAGCTCCTTGGAGAAAAAGCTGGGATATCAATGTAATAAATAAAGACTGCCTCGTTCCCTGCAGAGCTTCTCATGTGTAAAGATGAATAGGAGGACCTCTGTTGGCGATTCCACTTCCCTCTGAAGTGCAGGGAATAGAGGCCTTTTTCTGAGGCATCCCCCAAATTGTGAAAATCCCTCCCCTCGGAGACGCACCTACAATCTTTGTCATACAGCTTTCACCATGTGCCAAAGGTGCAAATCTTTACCCTGGCCTTTGACACCTGATAGATGCTGATATAGGTAAAGGTAAAGGTACCCCTGCCCGTTCGGGCCAGTCTTGCCAGACTCTGGGGTTGTGCGCTCATCTCACTCTAGAGGCCGGGAGCCAGCGCTGTCCGCAGACACTTCTGGGTCACGTGGCCAGCGTGACAAGCTGCATCTGGCGAGCCAGGGCAGCACACGGAACGCCGTTTACCTTCCCACTGGTAAGCAGTCCCTATCTATCTACTTGCACCCAGGGGTGCTTTCGAACTGCTAGGTTGGCAGGCGCTGGGACCGAAACGACAGGAGCGAGCGCACCCTGCTGCGGGGATTTGAACCGCCGACCTCACGATCGGCAAGTCCTAGGCACTGAGGTTTTACCCACAGCGCCACCCGTGTGATATAGGTATAGCTGAATGTAAATTGAGAAGTTAATGCGCATAAGAAGCTGATATTGTAGACATTGTCCATTCCCAGGGCTGGCTCAAAATGTTTTGTCAGGAGACAGAAAATGCAACCCCACGTGCTGCTGCCTCCTTGTCCTCAGCCCACGCTCCTCCTCTTCCATTGCATGCCCACAGCCCACCCGGCCAGGGTGGCAGGGTAGGAAGCCAGACAAAAGCTGGCAGCAGTTGGTACACAGCAGTTGGCATGCTGCAGAGGAGGAGAAGGAGGAGACAGTGAGCAGCATGCTTCTTGAAGGCCAGATGTGCCCCCCTATCCCAGCTGTCTGGAACCTGCTGCCCTCAGGCAACTGCCTCACCTTCCCTCATTGGTGTGCCAACCCTGCTCACATTTCACTGAGAATGTGCACATTTCCTGGTCAACATACCTCATCTCCAAAAGGCTTTGGGGAATGCACATAACTCAACTTCCTTCTGTACGTTCTCCTGAGATGCACATTCCCCAGGACACAATGTCTGGAGAATGTACAAAATGCAGTCGAACCCGGGTCTCTCCCGTCATCCTAGCCTGAGTCTAATGATTCCATTGTGCTGGTTCTATCTGCCCATCCACTAGGCACTGCACTTAGAAGGCTGGTGTTCCTGTCCAGAGTCCCTCTTCCAGCCCAGGCACTCACCCCATGAAGATCATTCCTATGCATTTGTGCCAGTCCTGTTATGGGACCATTGGTAAGGTTCCTCCTTGGGTGAAGGGCTGACATCTCCCCCATCACATGGCTTAATGACCATTTTTTGGACAGCACTGAACAATAATCTCAGCACGGGCTGGGGCTTTCAGAAGAACAGTCATGGTCCCTAAAAGGTCAGCTGGTGGTGATTATGCTGCATTAAGAAAGGATCAGCCTCATAGAGTGCAGAATTGACGAGCGCCACATCACCCCCATGGCATAAAACCAATTATTGTAAGAAGCAAAGCCTTCATTCCACTAATAAGCATTGAGCACTTTCCATCCCTTGTCCCAGGAGAAAGAAAGGACCATTGTATTTTTTGCAGTGGTTTGTGGTTTCGCCTCGAAAATAAACACACAAAAATCTTCAGCCATCCAATTGGGGGCCAGCTTGCTTATTAAAGTGCATTTTCCTTCTATTTTTAATCCACAAACTGATTTTATTTTTTTAAGTGGCTTCAATGTTTTTTGCTATCCCTAACAAATTGGGGAGAAGGGGAGAAAGAGAGGAAACAGGACTATTACAAACAAGAAAGTGAGGGAACACGTGAGACAACTTTGCTTTTTTTAAAAAAAATGAAATAAAATTAAAATACAGCAATGTTTCTTGGCAGGCTTTGGTATGCAGGGATTGATTTTAGGCTGTGGGGAGTGATTCTGGGCTGTTAAACTAATTTTAAAGCACTGGAAAGCTTACACAGACTGCTGCATCTCTCTTAATGCTAGAATTCAGGACCTTCCAGTGCAGCTGAATTTTGAAAAATTCAGGGCAGACAAAAGAATGTAGTTCCTCATTGCAGGAGGTTGGACTAGATGACCCTCAGGATATTTTCTAACTCTGCAATCCTATTATTCTACTTCTTCACACAGCACCTAACTAAACTGTGGAACTCACTTCAGCAAGACTTAGGTCACAAGCTTGGATAGCTATAAAAGATTAGACAAATGACCAAAGCTATCAATGGAGTCACAAGGGAACAGAATGCTGTGGGTACTCAGGCTGACATCTGGTTGGCCATGATGAGAACAGGATACATTCCTAGATGTAGGGATTAGGAAAATTAATTGAGGACAAGGTTATCAATGGCTACTAGCCTTGATGGCTATATACTGAATTCCAGTTGCTATCCAGCAACAGCAAGAAAGGCCCATTGCCTTGGTCACTTGCTTGTTATGAACATAACAGACCAAGGATGAGGAACATTTGGAGGTTCACAGGTTCCCTGTCTCTGTAGTAGAGGCAGGATGCAGGAGCTGGTTCTTCAGCCTGATCCATAAGGGTTTCTCTTCAGCCCCTCCATAATGACTCCTGTTTTGTGCTCGAGTGAGTGAGATGGAGAACAAGCATCTGGGTATATTGGCACCTTCCAGCAACAAACTGCAGCCCAGACTTTAGACACTTCCACACACATACAGAACAGGGTTCCTGATTATTCCATAATCAGGCCATTTGCACAAAGGAGATTTGTGTTTCAGCTTCTTTTCCATCTCCTCTCTATCAGATTGGGCCACGTGAGCAAATAAAGCTTGGGAGATGCCTTCAAAGCAATGAGATGGCCTAAGGCCAGGACTACAGAGTCACCCACCCTTTTATGCTGGTCTATGACGTGGGAGGCGCTGTGGGTTAAACCACAGAGTCTAGGGCTTGCCAATCAGAAGGTCGGCGGTTTGAATCCCCGCGATGGGGTGAGCTCCCGTTGCTCAGTCCCTGCTCCTGCCAACCTAGCAGTTTGAAAGCACGTCAAAGTGCAAGTAGATAAATAGGTACCACTCCGGCGGGAAGGTAAATGGCATTTCCGTGCGCTGCTCTGGTTTGCCAGAAGCGGCTTAGTCATGCTGGCCACATGACCCAGAAGCTCCCTTGGCCAGTAAAGCGAGATGAGCACCGCAACCCCAGAGTTGTCCGTGACTAGACCTAACGGTCAGGGGTCCCTTTCCCTTTACCTTATGACTGTAATAAAGATTTGTATTGTATTGAGATCTTGAGACTACAGAGCCACAACCAAGAGCAGTGGCCATACATGTCCTCCTTCATCCTCTCTCCCCTATTATGTTTAGTACAGCAAAATGGGGGTAGACCCACCCACTTTGGACTCTGGCCTTGCCCACTGTTGACTTTGGCCCCACCTAGAGCTGACATGGAGCCATTCATCCTGAGCCCCCCTCGAGTCATCCTAAACTTTGGAGCGGGCAGAAGAGAGAACCCACTCATGTTCTCTCCTCATATACAGGAGAGAGGCCCTCTCACATGTTCTCTATTGTAGAGGACTTGGGGAACGGATGGTGGTGACAATTAATAATGGCTGACTCATCCTGAGCAGGCCCTACTATTAGACAAAGTGAAGGGGCAGGTCTGAAAACTCCCATTTTTTCTCTTTCTGACATTCCTTTCTCTCTTGTGTGCACATCCATCTTCTTCCCTACCAAACAGGCTGCCAGAGGGCGTGGGGGGGGGTCATGAACAGATCAGTCTTCCTACCTGAGTGATCAACTTGAAGACTGCTTTTGAAGATGGGCTCTGTACCACAGG